GGCTGGCCGCGGATCCTCTGGTTTAGGGGCAGGACCGGAGGACGGGGGTTGAGTACCAGGTAAGCGGCTGGCCGTGGATCCTCTGGTTTAGGGGCAGGACCGGAGGACGGGGGTTGAGTACCAGGTAAGCGGCTGGCCGTGGATCCTCTGAACCACGATATTGGCTGACTCTGCCCATCTCACTCACATCTACTTCATTCTTCACAGCTTAGTCTCTGTATGTCACTTTTAAATTTTGAATGTTCCTCATTTGTGGAATGACTTAGGCAACCTATCCCTAGTATAATAAATGGGAAAGGAGAAGGTTTCAGTATATGCTTGGCCTAACCATTTCTTGAGCTTTGCCTGTCGGCACCTCCTGACGTGACTCTGAAAGGGTGAAAGCAGGAAAACGGCAGCCTGCCAAAGATCTGTTTAGCGAAGACATCAATTAAATGTTGATGGCATATTCCTGGACCCCTCAGGTGTCTCAACCTGAACAGTTCAGAGAGAATAAAGAACAGCCCAGCCCTCTTCAGGTAGTCCAGTAAAGATGTTAGCCTGACCTGCTATGTGTCATCAATCAGTCTGTGTGACCCTCTGGGCAGCATTTTGCTCTGACTCATACATGAGGGATGACCTCCTGTTCAGCGGCTAAAAACCAGCCACAGAAGGGCCACACCGTTAAGGCAACCAGGCGCGAACACTTGGGAAGTGGCGGGGGGTGGGAGGAGGGGTAAGAACAAAGAAACAGCCTTGGCTTATCACCACACAGCCTGTCCATCTTCACATTCAACTCCTTTGTGCAAAAACATCAGCGTAACGCTGACGTTTGCCCAAAGGCTGCCCTCTCATTAAGCGGTGGAATAGAGCGTCTATATATTAGTCAGTCAGAGAGAAAAGGACATTCATTGATAAATAACTTTTTTAAAATGTGACAAAATTGCAATTCAAGCAAAAATCGCAAGCACCTGTCAATCTTCATGAGTTAGTCGACAAAAGAAAAAATGTTCCTTGGATCACGGATAGTTTTATCCAATAACACATTTCTGACATTCAAAAAGACTGAATTAATTTGTTATGAATATTTGTATATTTCATTTGTGAAATAAAAAGTAAATTGGGGATAGAACTGTTATGTTTTCAGTAGCTGCAAAATCTGTATGTTTTTTATGTTCTTCTAAAAACGCATAGGACACATTTTTTGTTGTGGCAGATCTGAGAGCATCAGCCCCTCCTGCAGCAGCTGAGCAAAATAGGCAGGGACTGCACACAGCGATGGACACGAGCCAACCAGTCAGCCAATGTCACTCTGCTCTAAGCACAGACTATAACTTAGAAGCTATAATTTCACCTCTAGAGCCTTCAAAGACATTGAGCAAAAATTTCCGAGTGAACTTAAGCCAATTCTGCTTCATATATACATTCATATATTTCCATACTATAAGCACGTAAATAATATATCTTCGTTATATACATTTACTCTACATAAGAATAGCATTCAGAAGCCAAAGAGGTAAGAAAGGCTTTGAGGAATAAAGGGGTCAGGCATGGGCCTGCTGCCTGCTTCCTTAGTCACACCTCCTCCCGTTACGAAATATATCCGCTTTTTAGGAACAGCAGTCACCTAGTAACCTCTTGGTACCAAAATCCTCTGTCGATCATGACTTGTCATCTACGTTTTTTCATATTAAGGGCAGGTTAGTAAAAGGCAGGAAGGCAGGATTAGGCTGCCTTATTGTGCCTAAGTAATAAAACACCATTTTATGTCTTCCATGTGTTTTTCCAGTAACATGGATAATAAATGTAGTCACTTTCACATAAAATAGCCACAAAATAACACCAACAGACAGATCTTTCCACAGATATATGTATGCAGCATATTAAATCGTTGGGACTAATGTTGTGATATTATTTTATTATGATGGTACTACGACCGTGGATACGAGGCTTTTGGAGAAATCAAGAGAGTTTACAGTTTACCTCCACAATTGGACAGTACGGCTTATGTTAACATCTCAGATGCACATCACACACAGGCTACCAAAGAGGAAGAACGGAAATCAAGATTGTCAGGGTCCAGTGGATCCTGAAAAACGTCTCAGCAAGCACATGAAATACACAATGAAGATGTAAGATGTCAAGATGCTTTTAAAGAACATTTTAAGCACAACGTGGGCTGAACACCAGCTTGTGTAGTGAAAAACAAATGATCCTCTCTTGTTTCTGTTTTTTTTGTGCTACACCAAACCTACAGGGTGCTTCACAATTTGATGTGAGTGGGCACTTTATGACTTTACATTCTTGATTTTATGTTTTCAGGGAAAAAAAAGAAGTTTTTTTAGAAAAACGTTACTACAACCTTTAGCATTTAATTACCGCACACAACGACATGCCAGAGGAAGCTGAAGGCTTGTGTAAAAATTTACTGGTCAGCACATGTGACCAAAAGCACTGAAATACGTTTACCTTTGGTTAATGTCAATCTGTTTTTTTAATCACCTGCAAGCAGTAAATGTGTCAACCTTCAGAAGAGTTCATAAGATTTTTAAAACAGGCCTATCTAGGCAGTAAAACACACCGAAAACACATTACAAACATGTCGTTAACAGCAGAACAAATAGTAACAATGCAATTACTCCATTTACATGCTTTTAAATGCATTCGGTAACAACACAAAAATGTTGTTGAGCATAAAAATAACTAAAAAAAAAAAAAGTCTGATGAACATACAGATCAGCATTTCCACTGCCATTACCTCAGGTTGGAAGGATCCTTTAAAGTTCATCCAGAGAATTACAATGGATGCCGCTACGTATGTTGGCCTCACAGATACGCCAGGTTCTTTGCCATCTTACTGTACACTGATATTCCCTGTTACAGGTCAGCTTGGCAGGAAGGCTAAGTAAATCTCAGCTTACCTTTCCACAGTGGAAATGCAGAATTTTCGTTTAAAAAAAAAAAAAAGAGAGAGACACACTCAAGCACACTTCATGGGATGGGGGAGAAACTGCAGGCTTGGACTCACCCCTCAGAACAAAACTGGAGCTTTGGTTCAGGGAAACAGTTATGCCCAAATGCCCTCCTCATCGTCCTGTTGTCGGACACGTTAGACGTCACGGGAGGCCAGCATGGAAACAAAACAGGCAGAGAGGTTAGCTGGTAGCCTGGTGAGCTGGTGGTGAAAGAGGGTCTTGGGTGAGGGACACTGCAAGTGGAGAGCAAGAATCATCCCCGTTCTCAGCAAAGCCTCCCCCACGTGAGAGTCAGCTCGGTATGTTTGTGTGGAGCTTTGCAGTGCTTCTCTCTGGACCATCACATGCGCCCTTCCTTCCCGCATTTAAGTCTGCTTGGGAGGCTGTAAGGGAAGGATCAGAGATCCGGACGAGGGCATCTCGGATTCTTACCGTACACGTGCAGCCAATAGCAGCATGCGTATGTTGATGACTTTATGCCTGGCGTATATATGGTACAAATTAGAGTATTGGGACTCCACTACAAATTGAAACATGTTTCTGATTTTCCAAATCTAAACACAACCATCCTATGACCAATCACAGCTATGTCGTTTACTCGTGATGTTAATGCTTGCTTAATATTCCTACTGGTACTGTGTGTGTGTGATATGAAAGGCAGATCAGCTGTACATGACTGACTCGTCTTTTCCTGTATTGGTTGATTGGATAAAATGGAACTGATTCTCCTAATATTATTCGAGTAACAGTAAAGACAATCTTAATTTTCTTCTTTCTTTTTAAATGCAGGAAAGCAGCCCCTGGACTCAGGACTTTATTTTAAAATGAAGTTCATGAAAAAGACTGGAAACTCTAATTGAGAGTGACAATATTTTTGCATTTTCATGCACCTTGGCAGGACCCTTTGTCCGGTCTACACAGGACCGGTGCAGGTTTCTTCTGTTATTAAAAACCAGACGCCGAGACAAAGAATTTACATGTTGCCGAATCTAGCAAACGCATCTGACAGGGAAAATAAATATGACCAAGACAGGACTAAGAGTAAGTCTGGCTACAGACCATACGCTACTTCTTATAAACGTGAAGACGGCAGGCGAAAAGAAAAAGAACGAGAACAAAAAATAAAGGCTGGTAATTCTAGCTCTGATAAACATTTTATAGCTGTTTTCTATTTCCTTACTAAGACCCAGGACCAGACCTTGAGTAATAATCCAACTCCAGCTCACACAAATAAAATATGGCGTCACTGGGAACCAAGCCTGTACTGGGAGCCCAAACTCCTCCAGCAGGTGATTGCTTCACAGCAGGCTTCTGACGATCAAATGACCAAGCCGTGGGTTTACTTTAATTCCTACAGACTCCAAAAACAGGCCTCACAATCTTAAAACATAAACTTGTGCAGCTAGCCAGTCGAGCAGCAATGAAGTATCCGCATTCATCAAAACGCCACGCATATTAAACTGTCAGTGGAGCTCGCTGACAGAACGGCCTTGGAAAGGCAGCCCATGCAGTGAAGCCGCGAGAAGCTTCACCCGGGCCCAAAGAAACAGGAATGTTCCTTATCGTACTGCACTGTACAGACAGACAGGGAGTTTTTGATATTTAACAGAAAGTCACAGGAAGTAGCAACACTGTTTCAGGATGTAATCTCTTCAAAAATTAATGGATCAGCGATCATGAAGAAATTCTTCAAAAGGGACCTGCATGCTGTATTGCACCAATAAACTTATCGTAAGCATACAATTTGTGCTGGAATCCATGGCCTAATAAGACCTAATAAGCAAAGACTTTAGGCATATTTAGGAGACACTTTTATGGAGAGTAACAGGCATTTTTGTAAGAGAAAGCAGCGTCAGACACCCCCCAGGAGAAATTGGGGATTAAGAGCTGTGCTCAAGGCCCCACCAGTGGAATTACTCCGGCTACCTTGGGATTTGAGCATCTGAGGAAAATTGCACATCACATGTACCTATAATAATGAGAATAATGAGATAAGGCCTCTGATATCTCATGTTAATGAAACAGAGGGCCTTTGATGCCCATTGTCTGTCATTAGAGCTGAGACTGCAGAGTGACGTCTTACTGATGCATCTCACTTTGATTCCTTCTGTAAACATAGACTGCTTTAGTGGGTCTCTGGTTATGTTTCTCAAGACAATATGACCACTTTGGCTAATGTTCAAAATAAGCAAATGAAGATTTTCTGATGCTGCCTAATCTACTTAAAGTCCTGGGTTTACACTGACAATATGTTTACTCAAGGTAACAATAAACCTCATCATCAATAGAACAGTCTTGGTGTTGGCCTTTGTAGCACTGATTGCGGGGGTCAAGAATGCTGTTTATTTTGGAAAATATTTTGATTAATAAAATCTTGAGAATGGAAATAAAACGCATTTTAAAATTTATTTTTTATGGCTCAAAAAGTGTATTTCAGGCCCTCCCTGCTCAGATTGGGGTCACCTGAAGCACAACACATCTGGCAAGGATTCCGCATGCTTCACTGAGTTAGTGGTGCTGATTTGATGAAGACTGGAGTGGCAGCTCCGACTCAAAAGTTGTTTTAAGAAAATGAAAAAAGGCAATTAATCTACACAGAGATAAGAAAGATAAAACAGATCACTCTAACGCTGCTCAGAAGAAAAAATATACACACATAGGAGCTGCAGGTGACCTCAAGTGAAACAGTGAAGGTCAGCTTCATTTTTCGCTAACCTACTGCAAAGGGGCTATTGAAATTATTCCTGCTCCCAAGATTCTTCGGATACAACAACTTAGTCGGTATTATTACTAATAGTGACCAACATGGGTACATAAATTTATTTAGATAATGCAGAGATATTTGCTTGGTCTTCGCAATTCTGATGCAAAGGCGTCAGCATAATGTTGGGGGACTGCCATGCCTTTCCCTCTATCCTGATTCGTCCCTCACACAGGGTATGAGGATGATGAAATTCCTAAGTTCAAACACCGGATCTGACAGGGATCCTCCCCGTCCCCCATCACTCTCCTACTGTCAAAACAACCGACATCTATCCTCTGCCCGGAGAACACAGGTGTGGGGGACCGATTAGCTCTGGGAAGTTCCCTGTCATCAGTCCCCTCTGCACACCAGTCTAAATACGGGTTTAACAGGAAGTCTGCGGAGTGCAGCTCTACTGCGTGTCTGAGAGGGAGAGTACAGCTGAGTCCTTAGAAAGGAACCTCAGCCTTTGGTACTAACAGTAGAATAACAATGTTAAGGAAATGCAGCATGGCATCAGAATGATACTAAGGGTCAGAGGAATTTGGAATTCACCTGTATACTTCAGGACAGGCTGAACACAAAACACTGAAGTATGGACGTAAGTAAACTGCAGCACACTGCTGGTATTCATATAAGGCAACTTTGCTCATGATTGTGTAATGATTAGCAGAACATACATGATCATCTTCAAATACTATAATTTATTGTAATAGTTTACCTTGGACATATGAGGACGTTGCACCGGAATAACACCATAAAATATCCTTGAAATAAAGTACAAATACCAATCATGTCTTTTTAAGGAATTATATTTCCAGTATATTTTTCCCAAAAAACAAAACTGGCCTTCAGAGTAATACTACTATGAAAATAATAGTTAATCAGTACACACATGCGTTATGCTTTTTGTGCTGTAATTAATTTATTTCCTGACCATTCGGCTTAAAAAATGTTGCTATCAACAAATCCCACAGTGAGGAGGTTTTAAAAGCTGCGTCTAGGGAAACCTCATCAAAGACACGGCTCTGCACTTACAGGATAGCTTATCACATCACAGACATATATTTCATATCATGCTATGCATGTTTTCATAATAACGGATGAGCACACGGGGCACATCACACAAAAGGTCCCTGTGATCGGCTCAGCTGTCTCCTGATCTGTGGCCCTGCCCTACCGCCCTTTTCACAGAGGTATAGTTTATGTATCGGGCCCCTGGGCTAGACGGCTTCAAATATGATCATTTTTTTCCTTCTAAAATTCAGATATAAAGCCTCCAGGCAGGTGTTCACACGCAATGAAGAACTGAATCTGCACCGGCCTGTCCGTCCGAATTGCAGAGACTCCGCTATGCGAAACATTCCGAGTTTGACGAAAAAAAAATACATCGGAACAGTATCCAAAGCAACACTGCTGCCAGGGCCAGCGGCTTCTGCTTCAAGCGAGCTGTTACTGGCTATACAGCACTGGGAAAAAGGAAGAGACCACTCCATAGCTTTTAGGATTGTTAAATCCTGATTTAATCCTGGTTCTGCTGGCAGAAGGTTACACTGGTTGCTTCCAGACTCAAAGTTCCTAAGACAGCAGTACACAAGAACAAGTGAAGCAGGAGACACTGGGGACACTGGGAACGAAGAAAAACCAGCCAGGTAGAGGGCAGAAGTGACTTTCTAATGCCAGAGATGACTGTCAACTTATCCAACAGTGCCTCATGAATCGCAGGATGACATCATGTGACTTTCGAAAGGAATGGGAAACATTACATGCAGGTGAGAAGTGCACTGCTAGGACAGTTTGTATCAAACTCCTAGAAGCAGGACTGAAGTCCCATAAAGCATGGAAGACGCCCTTCATCAATGAGAAACAGGGAAGAACCTGGTTGGAGTTTGCAGAAATATTGTATATTTTACACAGAAGCAGACCTATAAATTGAGAAATGAGTGAAACTAAAAATGTTGTATGGTTAGGCGGTTAGGCGGCTTTAACCAATATAGCAGCAGAAGCAATATTTGTCACTGAATGTTTGTAAAAGCATGAAATTCTATGCTAAGCAATAAACAAAAGACAAATATGGAAGGAACACATCATCTGAGTGAAAATAGCAGCAGTACAGCTGGCAGAAGTTATACCAGTATGGCTGCAAACTGGGACCTGTCAATTCTGGGCATCATTTCACAAATGATCCCAGCGGGTAGTGAGCTCTGAGAAGGACACCCTGTTCAATGGTCTAACAAACAGGGCTATAACTGGATTTATGAGGTCAGGTTTTCTATCGTACTCATGTGGACTGTAGGATTAGTTTAATCCCTATCTGCATATTTACATATGATAAATGCTGATAATTATTCCCCAACTTCTATTATCAAGTGAAATCATTACCAGAGTTTTCCATCCAGTTTGGGTTAATTGTGAGGAAACCTGTGTAAGGCTTCTCACTTTATGGTGACCACATAGAGGTGATCGAAGGTAAGTGGCTGCCCCACGGATATGTTCACAACCCCAGCCGGAGATAGAGACTATGGAAAGACCATTCGGACCGAAGGAATATTTGGACAGCTGATGGTTACGATAACTTTGCTAGTGCTACACCTATACAGAGGAAACTGTATCATACTTCGCTTGTTTTTGCAATACCGTCGTGCCTAATACCCTATCGTTGTGTGTGGGCCTGTTTTACAGCGATCAGACACAACTCCCACAACAGTAGGACGAACAGGACGACGTTGTGTAACCTTTAATTTCCTGCTTCGTAGCTTCATTTTATTTAAATTTTTAATGCAACAGCATGGAAACACATAATTCCGTGTGTCACCATAAATAATCGTGAATGAAACATCTTATCTTCTGTGGAAATCCCCGAGGAGGGCGAGGGGTGGCCTTTGGATCACTGACAGTGTGTGAGTATAGAGTGAATTTGGTGCAGCAGGTGAAGTTCCCCATAAACAGTCATTAAAGGGGAATAGAATGAATGACAGGGCTTATGAGGACACAGCAAAACAATAACTCAGATCATTCTGCCCTGTAAAAACAAAGCCATAAGATAATTTCTTTAATTTCATTGTACCGCCCACTAAAGGTAAGGAGGCTGTTGTGTGTGTGAGTCTGTTCATCAAGGTATTCTTCTGATCAAGGCAGCGACTCTGTATCCTTTCGTGTGTGAAGGTCAGAAATTCTCCCGTTTCAAATAATCATGTTTTATTGCTTTTTGATGGAGCCGCTCACTGTCAGAGTGTCTGGGGGCAAAGACTCCAGACACTGGGGCTGACAGCTCATCACTCAATCTTTTATCAGCCGGGAAGATTAATTGTAACAGTCTGCTAACGATAAGTGCGGCATTTTGATGTGCAGTTTATTTGTTTGTCCTTAAGGTAACAGCATGATATATGTGACACAAGGCGATATAAACTCAATATAACACAATGGCTGTCTGGCAGATCTTAACTTGTTTAAATGAAATTAGAATTTAAGATGAGCTACCTAACCCTCTCTTTTGGAAACACAGACACTTCTGCTTGACTTCCAAGAGGGTTACAATGCTGTCTCTGTGTAACATAACCTTTTGATAAACTCATATGATGATTTTGACTTTGTAGCCCAGAAAAAAGGATTACAAATTATATACTGTGTATGTTTACTACATATAGCATAGTTTTATGGGACTGTTTATCTGTTTTAAGGTAGGAGTGCACCAAGTGTAGTTTAACACTGAGCTCCTTTGACAACACATGTAAGGGTGTTAGCAGAAACTCGAGTGGCTCTGTGGGGAGCTTAGCCATGAAAATGGAGGTACTGACCTGATCAGGAGAGGGGCGATGGTTTTCGTGGGGTGGTCCCCGGACGGGGCCACGGTGATGCGGATGCGGGGGGTGTTGGGCATGTGGATGGTGCTGCGGGTGGAGGGCATGATGATGGTCGTCTTCATAGTTGTCCGCAATCAGCTTCATCCTGCTCTGAGTCTGCGGTGGAAGTAAAATGAACCATCAAATAAAATCCTGGTCACAAAAGCAAAGATGTGAACAATGATCCACGGTATTGGTCAAAAGTTTCTGCCTAGAAAAAAGGTTGATAGAGTTGCATCACATGACCTGGCCACCTGACCTAAACCCAGCAGAAGTGGTTTTGGAGGAGGTTGACCAAAGACTGAAGGAAAAGTGTCCAATGAGTGCTCAGCATATCCGTGGGACCTCCTTAAGGACAGTTGGAGAAGCATCCCAGGAAGTCATCTCATGAAACTGGCATAGAGGAGACAGTATGGTCAGCCAGTCCGTAGAGCAGTTGGGGTTAAAGACCTTGCTCAAGCGTCCAATGGTGGGATTGCTCTACCAACCACAGGATTTGAACCAACGACCTTCTGAGTCCAAATTCACAGAGCTGCCCCCCCCCGACAAAATATATATATATATATTTTTTTTTAATACTTGTTTGGTCAGTGCATACATTATGCTGTGAGAAGCTGAACACTGAGCAAAGCCATGTTCATAGCATCAGGAAAAGCAGGATAAGCAAATGAGCAGTCATGTCAACTACGATACGGACATCATTGCTGAACTTATACACAAATGCAGAGTGATTTATTAATAGAATGATCAGCACATAAGACAAGACATGATAAGATGTAAACATGGTACTGTAATGTGCAAAAATATAGAATAATGCTCAAAAAATGAATCAGACAGTACCAACTGATAGATGTGTCCTCCTGATAGGAGTGGGAAGATGTGTACACTGGTTTTAAAGCCTGCTGATGTCTGCTGGCCCAACACGCTACAGCGTAGAAGATGGCACTGAAGAACATCTGCATGAAATGTAGCCAGTCTTCTATATACCGCCCTGGTGTTTCAAGCCCAATCCAGATTGCTACACTCTCAGGTATCTGTACTCCTGCACTCCACTTATCAGCATCTCCACTTCTCTTCCTTTCATGGAGACTTGTATCCTGGGTGGCTTCCATTTCCTGAAATCCACCACCAATTTGTCTTCAAGGTGTTGAGCTGCAGGTGCTACGACGATAGCAGAGTCACCAGAAAACTTCTGCAGGTGACGAGTATCTGAACTGTAGCTGAAGCCAGAGGTGCTGAGCGTGAACAGAAAAGGCAGCAGTAGAGTCTCCTGAGGGCCCCCCCCCCCCCCCCGTGTTGCATCCCCTGCTGTCTCATGTGCGGTTCTGCAGCCACACATACAGCGGCCTGCTAGTTAGGTACCTTGTCATCCAAGACACCATTGGCTCCTCAGCTTCCATCTTTCTGAACTTACCTCTGCATAAGTCTGGCTTGATGGTAGTAAAAGTACATCTCATGCTCAAAAAATAAGTAACAAAAATAAGCAAGTGGCAAATAAATATAAGAAAAAATACATACTGTAGGTAAGAGAACAGCGATGGCAGGTTGTTGCCTGTGATGCTAGATATCCATTGGGATAATGCTAAAGTAGGCTATAAAATAAAATTAAAACCTGATGTGCTTGTTGTCCTTCCACTGGTGTAAATGTTATGCATAGTTCTTCAGTGAAGCAAGCTGGATGGGAAGCATGCAGAGGCTGGGCACAAACGGCATCATCTCTGAGGGCCTTTAGACTGTACCTCCAGCATTCAGCTCAGGGTCCTTAGCAGAAGCTTGGATGACAAGCAATTTTCACTGACTACAATATGTCATGTCCATTTTTGATTAAGCAATTAAGGCTTGCCTGAGGGAACATCAGCAGCTCCCTCCTAGAACCTTGCATGAAAACTAGGTCCTTTCCCACCACATTCCCTGGTTCCCCATTTAACGTGAGCCTCTAGCTCCCTTCAGAGACCTAAGCCCTTCCCAACACGTGATCCAAGTCATGGTAGAACCCGCAACCTAACCCCCTCCCCCCCCAGACACACACACACATGTGGAAAACAGCTCTCAAACTAAACAGGAAGTAAGTGAAGCCTGGGGATGGTAGAGTGGGAGTGGTTCTAAAGACCACAGTCTAAAGCAAAGATGGGGTCTTAACTCCATTAGCAGCTTAGTAGATTTTCAGATTCCAGGCAGGCATAGAGTTACTTGGCTTCAGAAGCTGGGCAGAGGTCAGACTGACATTTCTGGCCAACACCCTGCTGAAGATGAACCCATTTCTACGGCACGTTGAGGCCAACATCTCATTCCAAGCTTCCAAAACAGCCTTTCCACGACTATTGTGCGGTATCAAAACGAGCCATTGTTTACCCCACTAGAACAGGCAGTCGCCCTGCGAGAAATAAATCGGTCATACCATGCTGAGCAGGGGACCAGTAAAAAATAAACTTTCCAGTGTTTTTCATTAAGCACGGTTTTATTTGTGACTTTGCGTATGTGTAGCCCTGCTGTAGAAACTGAGGAACATTGTCTGTGACTGAGAGCTCGGGGATCTGGTTCCACAGCTGCACTTTATTACATTGTTACTTCCCTCTTGAACGTATCTGAAAACATGCAACGTTCTCATAATGCTGCTGTAACACTGTTAAATCATCAATGCGACGTTGTGAAAACCTGTTAGTCTGGTATTTTGTTAATAAAGCTGGGAATTCAGAAGAGGAGGCAGGGGATCTGTCAGCTCTGGAGTGGGAGTACAGTATCACCTGTAGATGCACAGACCCACACAAATTTTCTCCAGTATGGCTGTGGCATTCTGACCAACATATGGAAGCCGCTAGAGTTGGTGTAGAAATGGCCTCCATTGGTCAGTGATGAAATTTCTTTGGCCAATCAAAGCTCCTGGAATTTCAGTATAAAATCTATCACCCAATCCTGATAGGTAATCCTTCAGGGAAATATAATTTCAAATAAATACACATTCTATTAGCACAATGCCCTGGACAATGTCTTATAAAGGAGGTTATGAACATGTCAGGCATGACATAATGTCACCATACCCAGAGTTTAATGACAGCTGAACATGAAACAACACAGGCTGAGTACAGGTCTATTCATTCTGGGAACCCATGGCAACAAACTCAGTGTGTCGTACGTCTTGCTAATCGTGAAAGCAAGGCAAACCACATGAGCGGGGGGCCAAAGAAATTGAGTGAAAACCGCAGTCTGCTTTTTATGAAGGGGGGGGGGACGGAGAGAGAGATTAACGACACACTGCCACAGTAACACAATTTCAGACATCACAGTCGTAGCCAGGTCTGTGACAGTGGGCTGAATCAGGAAGTGCAGACTGGAGCTGTTTATATGAAGTGTATGTGTGTGTGTGGGGGGGGGGGGGGGGGGGGGGGGGACTGGAACGCAGGGATGAGTCAGTGGAACCATGCTACTATTGGCTTATGGCCGTTGGAGTCCTGCCCCAAGATGTCCAAATTAGGAAATTTTCAGAATATTGAGAATAACATGACTCAGGACAGCAGTGGTGGGTAGCATACCTAAAACACTTCCCTGGGGAAGTTAGCATGTTAACAGCTAATGTTTAAATAAATGAATAAATAAAAACCACATGTTAATAACTATTTACGTCACACGGCTATGTTGAGTCTGCTTAGGGGAAAGGCACATGTGAGCATATGTTTACGTGGAGGTGCATGTTCCCTTTAAAATCCAACACACACATAATCCCCATCATGATCTACATCTGTGTGACGATTTGCATGCCTGTATGTCTGCCTGCACTTTCATGTAGGTGTTAAATTCCATCCAGGTGTTCACAAACCATTATATCTGAGGTTAAACACCCCTGCATTTTAAGTCTCATCAGCAAAGAGGGTACAGTCTTATCACTGAAGTACAGATATCTGAGCTCTCTCTCTGAAGCGCCTTATCAATCGATGGTCTCAGATTTCCCATGATGCCTTGGCTGCACATTGTCATGTACGCCAAGCTCGAACAGGTCGACTTGCGCAACATTGGATGTATCTCATTAATAATAGGGAATGGACCAAGCAAGCAAAGCAGAATGACTGAAATTAATGACGCCTTATGTCCACCATGGGGCTGGGGAATATAAATAAACCTCATTCTGATGGCCAGCACTCATTGTAATATATACAGGAGAACAGGGACCACCACGCATCCACTCTGGATGGCCCAGGGTGGGAATTAGCACATATCAGGCAGACACCCAGAGTGCAGCCAAGAGATTCTGAAAGCAAGCCTCTCTTCTCCTCTAAACCTTCACATAATTAGCCTCCTCTGGGGTGCAGATATTCCACAGAGAAAAGCACACACTACCAGCATAACCAAATGCCATCCAAGATATCAGCGGAAAGAAAGACAAGCCTTCGCTTAAAATATGACTGATTCCTTCCTTCCATTGGGCCTCTGTAGTTTGACAGTGGTTAAATATCTAAACCATTATCTGCTTGTGCCCCCCCACAAGCCCGCATTGGCATCCCGGGTATAGTTACGCCTTCGATGTCCACCTGGAGCACGAGAAACGCACCCTTATCTGCATGTGTACCATCAACATAAACGCACCTGCATCTTCTACTCGGTCCACCACAAATATGGTCTCATTTTCACCCGCTTGCCAAGGTAAAACTCTCTATCAGCCCCTGTAGAGCCGCTTGCATGCCTTTGCCTGCTCTGCCACGATAAGAGCACATTTATTTCCATTAGCTATCCAAGTGAATATTCTGTTCCAGGTTTGTCTCTGCTCTCCATGCATATTGCAAATAAAATAAATATCAAATAATTATTAGATATTAACACCTAGCAACATGGAGAGTTGCCCAGCAGTTATTTAACTATATTAAGATAAAAAAGGAAGCCAAAATGTACTAGAATATTTATCCATGAGAAAGAACAGCTATTAATTAGATAGATAGACTACCTCTATATATTGAAGGTGGACACATACACCCTAAATGCATTCCTGGGCGACTCCTGTTCGAAGAGCCTGAATTCATCTAAGCGGGCTTTTAGTCTGTAACCCAGGAAACATACAGTATGAGTGTACAGTGTTTTATTTCAATACGATAGTACAAGGATTCTAACCATGTATCTCACTCTAGTAATTTTCTTGATTTCTGCCAGTTCAGTTGGAAACACGGTCAAACTGGCAAACACCTGTGCATATCTGGGCACTATTTATGTATCTGGGTGTTATTTACTACATGTTACCTGGAGGGCACCCATAAAAGGCCCAGACAGTTGACCGAAGTTGCATCTTTCCCTTGTATGCCGGCCACTCTGTTTGTTATACAGCATTGTTTGGCTTTGCGCTGAGTTTTTGATGTATCATTTCTTTATTACTCACGTAACGATGTGCCTGGAAATGCACGGATTACCAGGAAGTGACTTTTGCCTACGTTTGTTGGTTTATAGCTATTAAAAAAAAGTGGTGTGAGAGAATAAACGGTGACTAGCAGGGCTGCGAATCCTATGAATCACCCACGGACTTGGTCGGGCGGGGGCACCTCAAGCTCCAAAACCAGAAGCCGACATTGATCTCCAGCATTTGACCTCTAAGATGTGGGACAAACTAATATCCAGGTGGGTCTCTTACTGTAGACCGTAAGTTAAGGGAACTGTCCCTATGAATTGTTTCCAGTCAGTTATTTTGCTCTGTGTAAGAGGACAATTAGCATTCCCAATGTACCCCTCATCTTCTGTAATTCTGTACTTTTACAAGCTGCCCAGTCAACTCATGATTAAATATTTTAATCAGAGACACATGCGGGAGGCTTGTTATGCCTGACAGCGATGGATGGGGTTATTTAAGCAGAAAAGCAGTTCTTTACAAAGCCATTGCTATCTCCACTGTCTGCTGGTGATCACACAGTAAAACATTAAATCTGCACTATTACTGTATGATTTGGTCAAAAGTTTTACACATATATAGAGCTAGATATTTCACTGAAGGGATTTAGGTACCACAGCCTCCTTAAGCTTGCGACAGCAGGTTCCATCTCCTAATACTTTCTTTATTTTATCGTCTCCTGATAATTTTTATTTTATCATTTTCTTATCCATTGTTACCCCCTATATTTAATCTACATGTTCTAAAATGAAAACAAAAACCTCTGATTCTGAGTTCCCAAAAGGTACAAAACACCTTAATGGGAATACATGTGACACCAAAAAAGTACAATGTATTGTCAACAGGATTTATAAAAATGTTTCACAAAAGGTTTTGCTGACAGTAAAAAATGAGGAATTTTGTTTCTACAGAACAATCATTAGCTTTGTGTTGTCAGTAAAATCATCACAATAGAATATGGCATTTCTGTATTACCAAAAAAACTTTGTTTGATAAGTCAATCTGTGATGAGAGAATTCACATGTGTTTCCTTTGTAAACTGTTTATCATGTGGCTGGGGAGGCTGAGTCCTGCTTCTGTAATAATCTGGTTGCACAAAACCTTTCCAAAATAGAGAATTATATCTCAACGGTTTCAAGTTGGTTTATTTTAAACAGATATGCATCTTTTTCTCAATTATCCATGAAATGGTCAGAGTGTGATTCCTCTACACAAAACCAACCAACAAAGTCAGACCATCTTTCCGGAAGGATCTTAGGATTTGGGCAAACTTTTCACTGCTAACCACAATTGCAATGCTGGATCCTGTGTTTTCTTTTTTTATTACTTAAGTTGGTTCAGACCCTTTCCCACCATAAGTAACTAAATATTTTGTAATTTACCCTAGCTGAATAATTTATAGAAGCAACCTGGTTTAAAGTCACAGCCGCAGTTTGTCTTCTGGGATTTAAACACAGGCTATGCGTTGTAAGCCTGCTCAACTCATTAACCTGCTGGTTGGTAGTGACATTGCAATGTTGGCTTAATTTCCATTGTGGAGCTATAACCTAGAGCAGACTGACTGATAAGGTTATAACAAGAAGGTTCCCTGCTTACTGTATATCTAGTCATCTAACCCGGTTAGGGAGCCTTTAAGTCCATAGAGCTGTTTTAGATAACCTAACAAATTGTGCACTCTTAAGTTCACAATGGATTTTTGTGAGACCAAGGTAATTGAAAGAACAACATGATTGACTGATAATGGCCTGTATGGATTACCAACGGCCTGTAGTAAGAGAATGCCAACACTGCGAAGGCCTCACAAAAATATTTGAGTAAGGTGAATAGGAGGGAGCTGAGCTTTCATCAGTCATCTGGAGGTAATTATGTCTTAAATGTTTCATTAACACTACTTAGGAAGAAAAGGCCCCTTTGCATTTTCCCTTATGGTTTAACTTTCATGAAATTTTGTCCAAGGAGAGAACGCCATTGCAGATCTGCATATCTGTGCAATGTCTTATCTCTTAACCCCAATGAGTTGCTGTCATGGGGCGGAAATGAAGTTTATTCCCGCGGGACCGTGAAACATAAGGGCAACAAAAAGAAGGCCTGACGATGGTGGACCTTCCCCGGGGGGGAGCTGCATTCAAAACTCCCCCCGGAGGTGTTCCTGTTTACGAGACACGAACAAACACTGCACCGTGACAAACAGCATCTGGTTGCTTCAGCCAACGGTTTCCCAGAACTATCTACGTAAAGACGAGCCGTTGACCAAGACTCACTAAACCTCTGCTTAGGTGCTCGGCTCTGTTCTCATTAGTGTGCCTACTCGATATGGTTAGCCACAAAAACTCAAATGTTGTCATTAATTACAAAACAATGCAGCTGTGCAGCCCCCTGCATTCAGTGGTGGACTGACTCAACATATTCATCCCTGAACTGGGGATTCCATAGAATAGGAATGAAACATCCTGTTGACACCGTATACACATCACCGCGAGGCACATCACTGGGATAAAGGACTAGGCAAACATCAGTAATGGTTCATTTCGCAACACTGCCAAAAATAAATGATCTTTGTTAAAGTAGGAAATTCCTACCAATTTTCCTCTTTTGCCAGTGAAGAAAAGACACCATTCAATACCACCTTGGCCATCTGTGTAGCTTTTTTTAAAAGCCTTATTTAAACGACACTCTTGGTTTCTTGGCAGACTAACCTCCCGGAGATGTGGACTATTAATCTCTGTATGGGAGGAATGTGATGGATGTGAGCCCCGGCTTTGGCCCGGCCTGGACCTGCTCCACACGTAGGGATAAATGAGGTCTGCCGGCTGGCTCCTACCTGCTGCTTCAGCTGGTGCATCAGCCGGTCCTTCTCCCGCCTCAGTGCCATCACCTCCTCCTGCGTCTTCTTCTTCTTGGACGCCGACAACTCCAGCAGGGCTATGTTTGCGTCCTTCTCGCTGATGGCGGCCAGCAGGGCCTGCTGTCTACAGGGAGAAAAGAGGCACATGAAAGTAAAAATGAACAATAAAAACATGCTTCAAAAGTAGCTCACTGCCGCAAATATTTCATAAGACTAATAAAGCAGCCGACCCCAAATCAGGCTTTTGATCAATGGAGTGCAAATGATGCTCAGAGTTTTATTTTTCCTGTCTGTGTGGTACATTTATTATATCAATTAGCATGAGAAAGGTGTGGACAAATGGAGGAAAATATCGCACAATAAGCATGCATCTGCTGGTTTAGAAATATCTGAGGAGCTCGCAGTGAAATACTGCGGTGTAATATTTGAGCAGTGATTTGGGAGTCCCACACTGGGCATGAGCCAGGCAGATTAGAAGCCTTAACGGGAGAGAAGCCAGATTTCCATATCAGATCTGGTGAACGGGAGTTTTTGGACATGGGGGCCAATAGCTGGTGTCAATTGTGCGGTTTCCTTGTCAAAGCACAACATCACTCCTCCCGCCAGAACTCCCCCCCCCCCCAGCTGCTTTCTCCTTTTCATCAGACGTTGAATCTTTTTCTTTACATAAGAAGCAGGGGGAAAGGGTTACGCTCCCCTTGTCAGTGTGGTTAAACAATTAGGAAGTCTCAATTAGAGGGGATGACTGTTCGCTGCAGTCCTCGCTCTTGGCGGTGGGACTACCCATCTGGCAGAACATCATAACTCACAGTCCGTGTCACAAACAAACTTCACAGAGGAGGCCTGGAACCTTATTAACACGCTGCAAAGATGCTGTGAAATCACAACACCATGTAGGTTCACCAGCTAAGGTAACTGAAAAAACAAGCAAGTCATCCTGCACTATATATAGCTATATACTAGACCCCTAAATTAGTGAACAGACAGAGTCCCGAGATCTGTATTAGATACCTGTCATAAGGTGTAAGGCTTTTAAAACAGGTGGGCCACTTAAACCCTAGCCTGTTGTATTCAACTGAGCTGTCTAAAAACCGCCAAATTTAACCGGGAAAGCTCAATAAATTCTGCCACATCTGGTGAAAAAATTAAAATAAAAAGGGTCTGGGGGGGTGGGAGGGGAGATGCAAGGAGCCCTCCCTCATATGACAGCTCATTAACATCCTTAGAAGAAGGACACTATTCAGACTAGGAATTATCTTGCGTGAAATAGCACCTATTCTGTGAGGCTCGCTCTTAAATCTTGTATGTGCATTAGAGGCAATAAATCTTCTCATTTATGCAGCTACTTTATTTGGACATTTAAAAAAAAGGCTTTATGGCTTGTGGGATTTGCCAAAAGCAAACACTTGCACTCCGGGCCGGCCATGTTCAGTGAGTTTTTAAGAAGCCATCGAGATGAATACAGTCCTTCTCTGAGTTTCTTTATATGCCTCTGGGCGTGTTACAAATGAGCTCTGGAGCCCCACGGTGGGATCTCTGTGTATATAAGCACGATGCAATGAGAAAAAAGAGATTCATCAACCACGTCCCTTTCTCCTACACTCAGCAACACCACCAGCCTAACCTCCCCCCCCCCTCCCCCCCACTCCAATTTAACATCTATTAAGCACTGGCTTCCTGCCAAACAGTCATCAGAATCCACCTTTGTGCTGCTTCACGGATTCAACTATTACAAATATGTCTGATTTAAAGTCTTCCTGAGACTTGTGGGGTGCGTCGGGTCGAAGTGTCTCGTGAAACGAAATGGTAACCAAGTGAACCAAGTGACCTGCGACATGCTTCAGCTAAACACGGCCGAGCACGGCAGGCTGCGGGGATGGAATCGCTGTCTGCTCAGTGTATGTCCCTGCTTCTATAATATACATTAACCTCTGCCTTGTTTGAAAAGGTGCCCAAGTGTCAGCTATATGTTATTTCGGAGCCCTCAACACCGTGCTTTAAATTTTCCACTGTTGCCAGCGATTCTCGCCCTGTGGACAGCGTTATATACACATTTCAAGTTCCCGAATTTCAGCAATCTAAATGAAGAAGCCTCCACATTTAGACAGAAGTATTGGAGTACACAATAATCCTCCCTGTACGTCACAAGAGACAATAATTTTTTAATGGTAAAGGTTGTGGTAAGAAGGAAATAAAATAAAACACTTCTGTGAGAAGTCTTTTTTTTTTTTTTTTTTGCAAATTCCATGCTGTGTTTTTAGTGCAATTATCTCACATGGATTCGCTCATTTTATTAATCGCGTCTAGCAAAGCATGCTGACGTAGAATTTGGACTTAATTGTACCATTAATCAAATAGATGTAGCTGTCTGGATTGGGTATCATTCTGTCTCCCAACACCTTCAATGTTTTCCACTAATGCTTAGAAAGAGTGTCCTGGACTAATCCCAAGTGCTCATAGAAAAACCATGTTACTCTGCTCAAGAGCTCAAACTGGCAAATGGCAAGGGTTTAAAAACACAACAAAGACAATGAAGAACATAACACAGAAGAGATGAACCACATATATATACATGCTATAGCACACAAGCAAAAATGAGCTGATAGGAAACCTATGAGCTTTGTTTAATCAATACACTGCCTAAACATGTCACAAGCTGCAGATTTTCCTGCAAATATGGGCACCAAATGAAGGTAGGCGGACAGCAGAGAGTTAATAAACACTTTAGAGCTCCTTGGGGACCCACAGACAGTTCAAGTTTTTGCCCCGGGAGCTGGGAGGGAGCAAATGTGGACAGTCTGGCAGGGAGTTCAGAGGGAGCAAAAACGTGAACTGGCCGTGGGTCCCAGACCGGATTGGGAAACACTGCTTAAGAGTGATGAAAACAGTCCACAGCAAAGTTTAAAGGTGTTTTATAATCATGTTATAGCACTGATAGCATCTAGCGTGTCTGTGTGTGTGTGTATATATATATATATATACATATGCCTGAATTACATTGTGTAACTGGAAGCATATTCATGTTTGATTTTGAAGGTTATAAAAGAAATAATTTTAAAAAACACATATGAAAATAATATGTCACTGTAGTGATTAGAAGTTAGACTTATGTTACAGATTAAACACTTTCCTATACAGCCTTTTGGCAACATAATCAGCAAAATCTTACGCCTTTTGTATAGTAAGTGAATATTCATTTCAATTGCTTTCATTTGCCAAGCCAGGCCTGTCTTTACAAGCTTGCAAACGTAATTTAATTAATTTAAATTAAAATCTAGTCAAATGTTTCCTGCTATTTCCAAAACCTGTTCAACACTGGATGGAATATTTGGCAGGTTTCCTTGAAATCCAGAACAGGTCTTACTTAAATAGACCAATGATATTGGTAATGAGACACTTTCTGCTAAATCATTATTAAATATTCATGAGCATCATTAATATACTGGCAGTGTGAGGTGTTTCTTAGTGAAATTTAATATTAAAGTTAAAGTCATTTGTGGGAATAAATTGCAAATTGTGGCTACCAAATTTTATTTTAAACCTGATTGTAGAACAATCACAATAGACATAAAATGGAACATGGTGTTTGAACATTTTTTGATCAGCAAAACAATGTTAAAAGGAAAAGTATATATTTCCTAAATAATTAGGTATATCTATATCTATCACATAGACCTACACAATTAATTAGGAAATATATACTTTTCCTTTTAACATTGTTTTGCTGATTGATATATATATATTTTTATTTATTTATTTATTTATTTTTTTCACAAGGGTATTCATAAGGTCACAAAGTCCAAACCCACAAACACACACACAATTTTTGCAGTGATGAAGTACTTTCAGCATTAACAATCCCTGGATACCAGTTCCTGTTAATGCTCCCAAAGGTACTGTAAGTGAAGTGTTGTGGCTCTATATTACGCAGGCATGTCCGTTTGCTAATAACAGGACTGTGAAACACAGAAGCTAGAGCTTCTCTCCAAAAAGACCAGCCTGTTAGATCTCCCACTATCGTAATATGTAAAAGTCCAACCTACATTATACTGGACACCTGCAAAACTCCCGACTGAAAAACACGACTATCAAAGTGGTTTTACAAAGAATTTATGAAAACCTATGATCAGTACCTCCCCTTGAGAACAACATGTTTTTAAGCAGTGTCAACCATTCCAATTACTGTTTATGCCAGTTTTTTTTTTTGTTTCTAATGCCAATAAAATGGAAAGGGATTATAGTATTGAAATCCCAACAGAAGGTCTACAAATGTGTGAACCTTCCACCTGGTAACTTGTTGAAGGGTGAGTGAAATTCTTCCAAGAGCAACAACATGTGATATCAGTTAAGTGTTCATTGCCGCTCTAACAATTTAAGACATCTACACAGTGTAGCCGGTGATATATGGTTTAAGTACATGATGAAAAAGCATGCATGCATGGCTCTATATCACGTTCACTTCTCTATGAAGACATCTAACCCAGAGACGCAGAGGACTCAGGCCATGGCGAGCCGGACGGGAGACAGCAGATGGCTGTTTCACAATGTGCAGACAGCGTAAGGAATCGTGCGGCAGTCTTGGGACTCTTCAGGTTAAGTCAAGGTCAGGGACGGAAGTAAAACTACGCCTGATGAGCTCCCGTCTCATGGAGAAAACGTTAAGATTTAAGACACCCCGGGACTACTAAATTAGCTACATGTATCTCATACTGTTATTTCTGCAAATTGTATGGACGATATGTGCTTAAAATGTAATTTTCTCTATGACTCAACTAAATGTCCAATGCAGACGGCTTCTGGGAGAAATACAGGTGCAAGATACCCAAATGAGCCACAAATTTCAGCTTTCACCAGAAGCAGACGTTTTTCTTTAAGTCCTGAGGACGCATACCTCCATCTGCAAATGCAGGCACTGTCCTTCAGCAATTGACTCTTTTGCAATCAAGTGCATTTTGCTGCTTGATTGCTGAGACTTTGTAGATAAATTAGTTACAGATGCACTTGAGTTTTTCCCCCCATGCTAATAAAATATACAACATATTTACAAACTAGAAAAAAACAAACCTGTTTTACATCAAGAAAATCAAACCATGAAACTGTTTATATTGTCCATCATTATTCAAA